GACATTTGTTTCCTGCCTCACAGTCACTGGAGTTGATTTAGAAGTCGAGTGACCGTGTTTTGCCTGGGACCTTTCTTCTGGTTGTCAGCCGTGAGACTTAGGAAATGAAACGTAGCCGCTTTTGTTTTATTCAGTGTAGCTTACTTAAGTTGCTAATGATAAAGTAAAATCAGAATTGTCTATTACTACTGAAAAGAAAAATGAGCAGGACTGAGTCAGATAAATGAAAATAAAAGTCTAAAAGCTTTTTCAAAGATTAATTTAGACTTATTTTGTTTTTCCGAAATGGATTGCATAATATATTTCCGTTTTCAAATTAAAATTAATGATTTATAATACATTTCAAATGGTATTATCTAAAGTTTTCATTTATTAAGTACTTTGTGGAAGCTATAAATATTGATATATCGTCTCCCAGTAATTTATAAAATTATCTGCATAAATCTTTAGAAAAATATTGTGATGAGGAGTTATTTACAAAGGCCCAGCAAGACATGATGCAAAGATGAGCAAATTGATGAGCAAGAACAACTTGAAATATTTTGTTTCCTATAAGTTAGATTTGATTTTAATGGATTTGACATTTTCTCCCAGGACACAGTTTTTTCTGGGTCCATATTTAGGAGAGAAAGTTAAATGTAAATTGAAATAACATTTACTTTTTATTTAATTTCGTCTCTGACATGTATATATTATAGGCTGGTTTGAACGCAGCCTGGCACTTTGGAGCGACTGGAAGTCTCAGTTTCATCTAAAATGATTATGATTATGTGACCAGCGTTAGGGACACGGGACCTGGATCCTCAATAATAACAGTTATCATTGAATTTTGTTATCTATAAGCACTTACTGAGCACCGATTACATTCCAGGTACAAAATACAATCTGTTCATTCATTAATTCTTAATAATAACTCTAGAGCTGGATCATATTAATGTCCTCATTTCACAGATGAGAAAACAGGGTTGGAGAAGTGAAGTAAGTTGCCCACAAGCACACAGCTGGCCAGTGGGAGAGCTGGGATTTGACCTAAGTGGGTTGCAGCAACTGTGCTCCTAGCTGCTAGCTGGGGGGTTCTTCCAGGGGGGCCCCCAGGTCAGCAGTAGCAGCATCGCCTGGAAACGCCCGGATGTCACCATCCCAGGCCTACCTCACACTGAATCGGAAACTCTAGGGTCGGGCAGACACCTGTTCTGACAAGCCCTCCAGGTAATCCTGATGCACACGGTCTTAGTCTGCTTGGGCTGCTAGGACCAAAACGCCATCGCCCGAATGGCTCACACAGACGTTTCTTTCTCACAGTTCTGGAACCCGGGAAATCCCACATCAAGGTGTGGGCAGATTCAGGGTTTGTAGGTTCGCACACAGACATCTTCTGTGTCCTCACCTGGCTGAGAAGAAGGAACCAAACCAAGCTCCTCATCTCTTCTTATGAGACCATTCATCCCATTTACGAGAGCTCTGTCCTCAAGACCTAATTGTCTGCAAAGGCCCACCTCCTAAATCCATCGCATTGCAGCAGTTCTCAACCTGTGGGTCGCGACCATCGGAAAACACATATAGCATATCAGATATTTACATTACGACTCATAATAGTAGCAACATTATAGTTACAAAGTAGCAACGAAAATAATGTTATGGTTGGGGGTCACCACAACATGAGGAACTGTATTAAAGGGTCGCGGCATTAGGAAGGTTGAGAACCACTGCAGGGATTAGGATTTCAGCACTGAGTCTTGGAGGGGACACAGACATTCAGTCCATAACACTGAAGTGTGGGAACCAGTGCCTGATAGAGAAAGCGCTCTTCTCTGCTGGTCCCGAGGCCCGCAGGGTAGCAGCAGACACTCATGCAGACTCGTGACTGCCATCCATCTGGTACGTGCAGCAGAGGAGGACGCGTGAGGTACCTGCTGGTGCAGAGGAGCAGAGGAGGAGAAGGAAGGTCCTGTTCAAGGAGGGATCTGCTCTCCTGTTTCAAAGACAGAGGAAGGGCAGTCAGTTCCAAACGGGCAGAGTCTGTTGGTTCTGCTTATCTAGAGTCTGAGCAGATAGTTGAAATGACTTCAAATGGTTCTGATCATTTTGGCAGGATCAGCATAGGCACTGTAGCTACCCTCTGTCCTGCCCACCTTCTGAACATGACTGTGCCTCTCACATGTTACTCTTGGAACTGATGGCTACAGAGTAGTCAGAAGAAATTTTTAAAAAATACCTAAGATATGATGTACTCTTTAAAAAAAATAGTTTTATTGGTATTTAGAGAGAAAGGAAGGGAGAGGGAGAGAGAAAGAAAAACATTGCTGTGGGAACAGAACATCGATTGACTGCCTCCTGCACGCCCCCTACTGGGGATCGAGCCCACAACCTGGGCATGTGTCCTGACCCGGAATGGAACTGGCAACCTTTGATGCATAGGATGTCACCCAGCCAACTGAGCCACACTGGCCAGGGCTGATGTTCTCTTTCTGCAAGAGAAGTAATTCAGTCTTAGATATTAGAAAGGCTGACCTTCAATAATAGTACCCGTTTCTTTTATCTGTTAAATCCAAAGTGAGTCAATTAAAACTACCATCTCTAGCTTTGGGATATAACAGCACTGAGCATTACAAGGCACTGTGATAGCTTGCAATACCTAAGTCACTTAACCCGTTAGGTGAGCCATTGTTAGTTTTCAGGATACAGTATTTTAGAAATCTTCCCTGTTGTTTTCCAGGCTAAACAGATTCTTTGCACTTTTCATTTTGCTGGAAACTGGGGTTAGACATAAACAGCAAGGGCTGTCTACTCTTCGTAACGTCTTTGAAGAGATGGCCCTGATATGCACCACTGTTTTCAATCACTTAAAAGGCAGTAACTCAATTAGGCCGTCCTTTGTATAAGAACTGCCACTGCTTGCAGTTCACTCCCGGCCGGCACAAGTAAATCACTTCGATAAAATCCCCCTTTCCTCCCTCCTGGAGACGAGAATAAGCAACGATACCAGTGGTCTACCAAGGACAAAATGAATATAATGTGCCTCTTCTAGAAAAGCACCATGTTTCACCAGGCAGTGATGCATTGTGTTGTTCGGAAAAGGATTTTGTGTGTGTGTGTGTCGAGCAGATGCTAAACTGCTTTCAAGCTAAATGCTCGGATTGAGCAGTTGATGTGCCTCAGATGGGAAGAGGAATACGCTTCAGCGACACACCATCCATAACGGGCCCACGGATGGTTGTTCCTTCCTGACTGTGCAAAGAGAAAATACTGTCTAGGGCAGTGATGGCGAACCTTTTGAGCTCGGCGTGTCAGCATTTTGAAAAACCCTAACTTAACTCTGGTGCTGTGTCACATATAGAAATTTTTTGATATTTGCAACCATAGTAAAACAAAGACTTATATTTTTGATATTTATTTTATATATTTAAATGCCATTTAACAAAGAAAAATCAACCAAAAAAATGAGTTCGCGTGTCAGAGGTGACATAGGTTCGCCATCACTGGTCTAGGGTATTGGGAGCAAGTTCCTTCCTCATGTGAAATAACTGCATATATTAGCAGCATGGCACGAGGCTCAGACTAAAAGGACATGGACTTGAATGTCCTGTTAGTAAGGTTTGTCATTTCATTAAGGGTTGCTCGGCTCACTTGACTTTTGTCTTAATGACCCAGGTTACCCAAGAAGACAGTCCCTCTCCAACACTGTAGTGAATTAAGTCCTTGAGTAAGTGACATCCTCTGGGGAGCCTGTGGGGGTCCAACATTATTAGCATGTGGACATACAAAGATTAAAATACAGGTGTCCCCCCAAAAATGTATACACCCTTTAACACCTGACAGCTCAATTTTGAAAATGAAATGAAACAACGCTGCCTTTAAAATTATTCAAAGTGTGTGTGTACATTTTTGGGGGGACACCCTGTATAGGATAAGTGGCAAATTGATTAATTAGGGTCCATGTCATGCCAAATTTTCCTTTCCCTTCATATATTTATTAGCATACATAACATTATTCCATTTAATATATTTACTGATACCTCTTACTGAGTGATAAAATATTTTCATTTTAACAAGTCTAACTCAAGGGATTCAACAAGTGTGTTTAAGGGATTCTAAAAAGTAGGTTAGCCGAAACCGGTTTGGCTCAGTGGATAGAGCGCCGGCCTGCGGATTGAAAGGTCCCAGGTTCGATTCCGGTCAAGGGCATGTACCTGGGTTGCGGGCACATCCCCAGGAGGAGGTGTGTAGGAGGCAGCTGATCGATGTTTCTCTCTCATCGATGTTTCTAACTCTCTATCTCTCTCCCTTCCTCAAGTCTAACTCAAGGGATTCAACAAGTGTGTTTAAGGGATTCTAAAAAGTAGGTTACACTCTTAAACAAGTGATACAGACTCACTGAAGCTGACCATTTTATCTCTTAGGGGAGATACAATTTTATAAAAGAACCACAGAGACCATTACAGTCAAGTTCTCTGCTGCCATCAGCTTCCATTCACTGAGAAAAATCCCCTTACTTGGATCATATGATTCTGAGTTAGGATTATTCAGATGGGTAGAATTAAATTGGAGAAAATGTAATCTAAGACAATAAAACATGTTTACCTGCTTTAGTTATACTGTTATAAATCACTAGCATTTACTGAGTACCTCCTACATGCCAGACACTGTTTTGGGCCACTCAAATGCCGTGTCTCATTTAATCCTCACAGTTACAGTTCTTATCGCTAATCCTGCTGCATTTTCTTTTTTCTGCAGCACTGTTGTCATCATCTAATATGCTACACATTTTTTTACTGCCTCTCTCTCCCCTCTAGCCTCCCCCCTCGTTAGGCATGGATTACTGAGTTTTGGTTACAGCTGCCTCCACAGTTCTCACTTGTAAATGCTCTGAGTGTCATCTTTCCTGGAAGGAGGTCTTTTGGCTGAGACCCTGGTCTCCTGACTAGCAAATACCTGTGAGACCCCTCTGCTCCCTGAGTACCTGCCTTTCCGTTTACTGGGCACGTTGCTCTCTCCCCCAGGGAGAGCGTGGAGAGCCTCATTCAGAAGCATTCCTACGCCCGCTCCCCCATCCGCACCTACGGAGAAGAGGATGTGCTGGGGGACGAGGTACAGACGGCACAGACCCGAGGTAAGCTGCTCCGGAGGTGCCGCTGCTGGGAGCCCATGCCCAGCGCCCAAGGGAGAGAGGCAGGTGCGGGGTGAGGCCTGGACCTCAGGGTACCCTTGGGCCCAAAGTATTTCAGGAGCCTCTTCAGGAAGGCACAGCCCCTGAGGGCTTGGCGTTCAGTATTCTGCCCTTGCGTCTTAAGAGATGATGCTGCCCGAAGGTTTCCTGGGCTTTGGACGTTTAGTAGAAGAATCTCGAGAATCTGAGTTACTTGTCTGTGACCTCCCAACCAAAGAGCGGGAGGCTTGGGGGCGGTCCCTGAGTCTTTCTGACGCTTGGTTTTATAATCTGAAAATCTGTCCTACTTAGGTCAGGACTACCTCGTGAGGATAATGACTAAAACTGGAAACACTTTAAAAAGAAGATTCTCCCAGTGCAGGGCATTATGGAGAGGCAGTGGCCCCAGAGGGAGGAGGAGGGGGACTGGAAGTTCCTCTGTCTCAAAGGCCCAGGGAGGAGCCCTCTGCACCTGGGAGGGTGCCCAGCCCGGGCACAGGGGTGTTTGCAGGGACAGAGCGCCCTCTGTCATATTTTAATGCCCATCACATAGAAAGCGCACACTCCGTCAAAAAATAGGGCATCTCTTAAAACTACACCCAGCCCTAACCGGTTTGGCTCAGTGGCTAGAGCATCAGCCTGCGGACTCAAGGGTCCCAGGTTCGATTCCGGTCAAGGGGAGGCAGCTGATCGATGTTTCTCTCTCATCGATGTTTCTAACTCTCTATCCCTCTCCCTTCGCCTCTGTAAAAAATCAATAAGATATTTTAACAAAAAAAAACTACACCCAAACTCGTGACTAGAAGTTATCCGATGGGAAAATTTAATGTCAACTCTCCTTTAGGCATCTGGATGCTGCCATGTAAGAAAGAGTTACTTTGTAAGTTGTCAAATAGCTAATAAAGAACCGGGGAAGCTGGAAAAAGAGGAAAAGGGAACACTCATGTGGGTTCTCTCAAAGGCTTTGGAAGCCCCGTAGCTCTGGGAGACGCCCCTGCCCCCCCTCCTTACGGGGAGGCCTCCTGTCAGCTACCTGCAGCTGCTTCGAAGGGAATCAGTCCACGCCCTTCAGGTAGAAGCTGATGTTTTGGCCGCTCTGGGAGTATGCAGGCTGTCTGAGGAGTTGTCTTTTTCTGTTTAGGGAATTCTCTGTTCCGTATGTTATAAGTGCTTTTGTTTCTGGAAAGGTAGATGTGCCTCCTGGTTGACATGTTTGTCTTTTTGAATTCTAGATCTGGGACATATTTCATAAAATAAGAAATATGATCCTTACAGATAAATGATGCAGGGTGTCCCAAAAATATGTACACATGCTTTGAATCATTAGTAAGACAGCGATTATTCAAATGTATTTCATTTTTAAAATTGAGCTATCAGCCCTTACAGCGTGTGTACGTTTTTGGGGGACACCCTGTATAATTCTCGGTTTGCACCTTGACGTCGAGTTTCCAGTCTAACGCGTTGTTCCCCTTTTCAGGGTCAGCCTTTACCACATCCGACAACTTGTCTCTCAGCTCCTGGGTGTCCTCTTCATCCAGTTTCCCTGGATTTCAGCACCCACAGTCCCTGACTGCTCTGGGCACCAGCACAGCGTCCATAGCAACGCCCATTCCTCACCCCATCCAGGGCTCTCTGCCGCCATACAGCCGCCTGGGGATGCCTCTGACCCCCTCGGCCCTTGCCAGCTCCATGCAGGGGAGCGGCCCCACCTTCCCCTCCTTCCACATGCCCCGGTACCACCACTACTTCCAGCAGGGCCCCTACGCCGCCATCCAGGGACTGCGCCACTCCTCCGCCGTGATGACGCCTTTCGTATGACTCTTCCGAAAGCAGGAGAATCCCAACCCAGAATGTGCCAGTGGGTATGGAACGGAGGACAGGCTGTGGGGGTGGGGGAGGGAGGGTGGGCGCGAGGGATCTCCAGGAGACATGCGATCTATTGAGGAGAGCTGGACTCCCAGCGAAGCCTGAGGGAATGCACCATGGACCAGGATTCATCTGGAGCTGTGGGGGGCGGGGGGGCTCTTGGGTTCGAGAAAGAATCAGTGTCAACGTCTCAGCCAGCCTCGGTTCTGCAACTGATAGGATATCCATTTCCCCAGACAGTTTAATCACACAAGGCAGATGAATCTTAAAGTGCATTTTCCTAGTGGTTAAAGATGCTGCGTTGATGCAGTCATGTGTAAATTCAAAGTGTGTAGGTTTCCTTTCTGCTTCCCACACACGGGTTAAAAGAATCTTCAGCGTCCGCATGCAGGACGACAGGGTCCGCGCCTCCCTGTAGGACCTGGGCGCGGAGGGAAGGGTGGCGGCGCTGGAGCGTAGGCATGTGTGGCTTTGCTTTGTGTCCTCTGCTGGGGAAGGCGCCGCCATCAGCTGACACATCCTGTTGTGTGAACAGTTGGCAGTGACTTTGCACTGTTCTCTTTGTGATAATGAAGGGCCAGGGCCTGGCGGGCGCTCTCTCACCATCTTGTCATCTTGCTTTCTCATCCCTTCCTTGCAAATCCTTGCCATGTAGGTAGGACAACCCTTTTGTACACAGTTTTGAAGCAAGAGGCTCTGTGTGCGACATTGTCAGGCTGGGGGCTTGTTTTTTACTACTGATTTACTCGCTGGGGCGTATTCTCCAGCGGCTCCCGGAGGACACGGAGCCCTGTCCCCTGCAACGGCAATAAAGAGCCGGTGGCCCTGTTCCGGAAGGCGCTTCTGGGCCACGGGTGCCAAAGGCCCCTTCGTCTGTACTTCAGCTTTGGGGGGCCCTGAGGATGTTAACAGGCACCGGGCCATGTTCTCGTGTGGTGGGTGGATCTGCTCTGTGGCTGGGTCAGCTGCCACGGCGGACTGAAGGGATTTGCGAGTGACCGTTCTGAGCGCCTGTGTAGCCGCCAGTGTAGGCATCTAAGCTCACACGGAGTTAGCTGTCCGCCTAGCGGATCTGTCCTTTTCCTCACTGCTACATCCAGTGACTCCCTTTCCATGTTTCTAGCCTGTCCTATGAAATGACATGTTGCTCAATGACCCCCTGACTGAAACACTGCTTCTGAGTACATCTAAACACGTATCCACTTTATTTCCAGCTCTCGCTGTCTCCTTATCCCTCCTCTGATGTGGTGTAGTAACTCATTGTATTTTAGTTATATATAATCTCTCTACTATTTTGAGGCAACATAGATCCAAATAGTATTTACGGTCAGGGTAGTACAGTTGGTATTTTGCAACAGTTCGTGACCCTAATAGCAGGCATTTAATGAGGTTCATAGACCATCAGCTTTAGATACAGTGCAGTTAAGCTGCAGGATACACCTGGTCTCTTTCACCAAGCTCCCCCAAACTCCATTTTAATTGAATTTAAATTTTCTCCGTAATCATTTTACTCAGTCTGACTGCAAAAGTACTGAATCTGTTCGAAGAGATGGGAACTGTTGCTGCGGAGAGCAGAGGTCTATTTCAGAGCAAATGCAATACACTTATCGCATCCGACGCCCCTGGGATTTGATTGGGTTGTTTTCACGTTAGGCTTCGCCACATCAGATACTTTTCTCGGGCACTTGCGGCTTATGAAACAAGGCAAGATGGCACAGCCTGTGTCTGGGATGCTGTCGCTGGACTTTGCAACGGCCGTTCTCTGCTGTCGCCTGAATTTACAGATAGAGAAGCATGGGCCGAGGCTGCCCAGCATCTGGGTCCTGTGGCGACACCATAGGCCGATTTATAGCTTCTGGCATGTTATGCTATAGTAGACACAGGTAGGTTTTTTTTTTTTTTTTGAAGCACAGCACAGGGTGCGTTTCCTTTAAAAAGCAGTTACGAGTCATGTTTAAATAGCCATAGAGCTTAGGGTAGGGATTTGATGTTTAATCGTTGGCCTGTTGCCAGTGGCTCCTTTCAAGACAGTGGCTGCTTCAAGCAGCAACAACAGAAATAGATGCTATTTTACATGATGCAACTCAAGACCCTGGTAAATTACTGGTCTACTAGAGTGAATCGTACCTGAACTTTCCTTTCAGTGAGACAAAAGGACCATTTTAATACGATTTTGATATTTTTCCCAATCGGTGTGTCTCAGAGGAGGGTGTGTGTTTTTGTTAAATATGGGTTTACACCAGTATTTCCTGACTTCATAACTTTACTTTGAAATCAAGCAATAAGACTTAACAATAAGTAGAGTGCTTAGAGAGAAGACTAAGACAGCAAAGCATGCTATTGGAAAGTCACGTCTGGAATTTTAAGTGGGATGTCTTAGTATTTGGTTTTGTTTGAACCAGAAAAAAAAAGCACAAGGACATGGAGCTCCACCCGTCAGTCACTGTCGCCATGGGAACCAAGGGTAGGAGTTTACCCCATCTGAGTCCTGTGAGCTTTTCAGGTTGTTGATTCTTACTTAACTCCTTGGGTAGTCAAGATTTAAAACCGTTAAGTGTGTCTTACCAAAAGTAATGACAAGAACTAGATAATGGAATGCCAACTGAATAAGAAAGAGCGTGAGTTATTTGGCGTGACTTCACGGTTTCCCCTCAGGTATCCAAAGTATGGCTAATGTGCAGAGCTGCTAGAAAGAGGCCCAGCCACAACTGCTGTATCGAGCCCAAAGAAATGAATTCATAGCTTCGTGGGGCCTGCATCTGTGATTTGTTTTAAAAGCATTTATCAATAATCCTAAGTTCTGTTATTTATCCTACAGAGTAAATCCTCCCCCTCCTCTGCCCACCCTCAGCAGGATAAAGACAAAGACGTTCAGTTGTGTCTAACACGTCCCAGATTATTGGCTACGAGGTCTGCAGTAATGAGTTTGTATTGCATTGCTGGTCCTTCTGAGTTTCCAGCAATGGTACGTTGTCCGGAAGGTGGACCACCGTTCCTGGTGGGTGCTCACACAGGAGGAGCGATACAAAGCTTCCTGATGACTCATCATCTAGCAGAACCCCGCTGTAGGGCTCTGATATGGGAGTCACACTGGTTTGGGGGGCATCCCAGGGTCTCCCCTCCCCCACCCTTATCCACATCTCTATCGTTGCACAACATCCCAACCCCTCCCCCCAAAGAAAAAGGAAATCCTGTAAAAGCCCAAGAAATGAGAATTCTTAGGTAAAGCATCCTCCCCCCATCCTGCCGCTGAGTTTTTCAGGAAGATGTTAGGGTGGTTATCCCCATTCTGAAGTTCTCACCCGCCTTTCAGGCTGTCCTGCTTGTATTTAAGCTGAATTATATGGAGAAAATAGGGCTCCAAAACAGTGGGTGGAGTGACCTCACCACCCCATTAGTGAGGTAGTCAAGCTCCGCCGTGACTCAGTAACTCAAGTTCAAAACTTCGGCTGTGCAATGTGCAGGGTCACATGTAAGAAAAACACTTTTTACCCAGTCTTCCATTCACTAGGTAAGGAAAACCGTTTTCATTATTAAACATGTATGCACTTGATAATTATCACCAGGATAACAATATTATATCCTAAATCTATAAACTTTTAAAAAATATATTTTTATTGATTTCAGAGAGGAAGGGAGAGGGATAGAGAAATAGAAACATCAATGACGGAGAGTCATTGATTAGCTGTCTCCCGCCTGCCCCCCTACTAGGGATCAAGCCCACAGCTGGGCATGTGCCCTTGACTGGAATCGAACCCGGGACCCTTCAGTCCACAGGCTGACGCTCTGTCCACTGAGCCAAACTAGCTAGGACTATACCCTATATCTAGATGGCCTAGACCAGCGGTTCTCAACCTGTGGGTCTCGACCCCTTTGGGGATCGAACACCCTTTCACAGGGGTCGCCTAAGACCATCGGAAAACACATATATAATTACATATTGTTTTTGTGATGAATCACTATGCTTTAATTATGTTCAATTTGTAACAATGAAATTGGGGGTCACCACAACATGAGGAACTGTATTAAAGGGTCGCGGCATTAGGAAGGTTGAGAACCACTGGCCTAGACAGACAGAAAGCCCTGCACAGAATTTAGTGGTTCCTCTGGAGAATCCCACTGGGGTGGATGCTGGATTTTACACATTTCTACGTGATTTCAGAATGCAAGGATTTTATGTAAACAGGCAAAGGGAAGGTTACCAACTCCCTTTGGAAAATCCAAATGCTTTCTTCACTACTGTTCATTCCACGCCAGCTATAAAACAGTCCAATACTTACCTTTCTTCAGCATGCTTATATATGCGAAGGTTCACTGACAAATGTTTGCTAGGCAGAGATTCCCAAAGTATCTTCGGGCCCTTCTTTCTCTGTCCATGCCTTAAATAATTCCACTCCCCTCACCCCCGACAATACGAAAATAAAAACATTTTGGTGAAATGCTACATCTGGACAAAAAATACAGTTTGTTGTATTTTACTTCTGGTACATGATAATAGTGTATTTAGTTGTTTGTTTGTTTTTTTCTTAGTTTCAGAACCCTAAAAGAAAGTCCTTGATTTCCTAAAGGAAAAAAAAATGCATTAGCCTTTTTAGGAGAGCTATCACCGGCCTATTGTTTGCTGTGCTCATTTGCTTCATGAATTGCGTGAGAGCAGTCACTGTAATGAAGTGTGTGCGTGGGGGCTGGGGGGCGGGCATGGGAAATGTTTTATGAGAAAAAGAAGTTATAAGCCTAATACTATGAAGTAACATCTAACAAAGTTCTTTTTAAGTGCAATATATTTATTTCTGCTAGAAATGTATTATCAACATTATGTAATATTTGAAGCATTACATGTTATTTGTAAACAGCTTAAAATTATATATTACCCAAAGTTGTACAGAAGTACACTGTGTGCATATGAATTTCTTTCATTAAAAACGGTGTGGTTTTGATACATACACACACATTTACACCTCTCACTGTCCGACACACTTTGCTCCGTGACTTTGGGTACCTGTTCCCACACCTGAAAGAAAAGAGGAAGATTTGGTAAGGTCGCAGGTCATGACTGGCCACTCCCAGGCAGACAGCCCACGGGACTACTACACAGGGTTTGGGTTTTGCCTTTGAAAACCCCACAGAGAAGACATTGCTCTCAAGTTCCCACTAGTTCCAAATGTCCCACCCTTTATCCCCTTCACTCATCCCTCTCCCCGTGAGCACTCAGAGTGCGGGGACCTGGCCCCTCTGCGCAGAATGATACGGAGACGCCACAGAGCTTAAAGGACGCCTGCCTCTCATCCCAGCCCTGAGCTCCTGGATGTGATGTAATGACATTACACAGCAGGCTGACACCAAATAAGATTAGCCAAACTCAGCCCTAATCCTTCTTCCACATGACAGTCCTTCAGAAGCTGACGTTATCACGCCTCCTGCTCTTGCAGAAGTCTAATCTGTTACCCGGCATTTTCTGCGCGTGCCAAACACCAACCTTGTAACAATCTTTTATTTGGAATAATTCTTAGCTTACAGATAAGGTGCATGAATAGTATAAAGAAACCCTGTACTTTACTTAAATTGGCCAATTATTAACTTTTTGACTCATTTCTTTTAGCATTTGCACTCATAGTAGTGCACATGCGCATATGCGTGCACGCGCACATACACACACACATGTAATATATACAAACTAGAGGCCCAGTACACGAAATTCGTGCACAGGTAGGGTCCCTAGTGGCTGCCGGCTGCCAGCCGGGCCTCCCTTTGTTCCGAGCCACCCCCTGGTGGTCAGCGCACGTCATAGCGAGTGATCGAACTCCTGGTCGGTTGAACTCCCGAGGGGACACTTTGCATATTAAGCTTTTATATATATATATATATATATATATATATATTGTTTTTCTGAATCATTTGGGAGTAAATATCACATATCATGCCCTATCATCCCTAAGTAATTCAAAGTGTAGTTCCTAAAACTAAGAAGATCCCATGAAACACCCCAGTAGAGTTAGCAACCTCAGGACATTTAGCAGTGGAACAAGGCTGAGGTCTGCTGTCTGTACTCCAGTTATGTCCAGTGACCCAGTGATGTCCTCTGTGGCATATCTTTTCCTTCAGGACAGATCCAGTGCAGGGTCACATATTGCATTTTTAAATGTTTTTTTTTAGTTTCTTTTAAGCTGATACAGTTCCTCAGCCTCTGTCTTTCATGGCAAAATAATAATAATAATAATAATAATAATCCCTGTTGTCAGTGGTTTATAAGAGATTCCTTTTAGTTGGGGATCTGTATTAGAAACAGAGATCTGGGTGCCAGATGTGCCCAGTGGGGTGTGTTTGCTTCTTTCAGCGGACAGGAATCCGCTGTGGGGGGTGTGCAGGAGGCAGCTGATCAATGTTCTCTCTCATCATTGATGTTTCTATCTCTCCCTCTCCCTTCCTCTCTGAAATCAACAACAACACACACATATATATATATATATATATACAGAATATCCAATACAATATTGAAGAAGAACAAAGGTGGAGAACTGACAGTACCCAATTTCAAAACTTACCAAAAAGCTACAGTAATAAAGATGGTATGCTCTTGGTGAAACAATAGAGAAGATCAACGAAACAGAATAGAGAGCCCAGAAAATACACCCACATGGATATAGTCAACCGATCTCTGAACAGATGGTTCACCAAAGAAGATAAACAGATCACAAATGAACATGAAAAGATGCTCAGCATCACATGTCATTTGGGAAATGCAAATGAAAACAACAATGAGAGAGCGCTACACAACTGAGAATGTGGAATTAGATAGTGGTGACAGTTGCACAACCTTGTGAATATATTCAAGTCAGTGAATCCTACACTTAAAAGAATGCATGCTATGGTATGTGAATCATATCTCACTAGAGCTGTTACTTTAAAATGCAAAATAAAAGAGATAGCCAGCAAATCTTTTCTTTTCATTCTTTAGGGCCCAACTTGTCAACTTTGAGAACTTCCAGGGAAGTAAGACCTTGTGTATTTGTGAGTTAAGAGTGAGTGGTCTAGAATCTTCTCCCTGCCTCAATTTATTTTATCTGTGAAAAGAAGATAATATTGCCTATTTGAGAGCATTGTGTGGCCGTGGGCTCTCAGTTTATATTAGTCTATTTTTACCCCCTTCCCCCCCTTTTTTTTTCCCCAAGAAGAATTATAGCTGGTTCTTTGGGAAGATAATGTAAATAATTCTTCTCCATCCTGAATTTTGATATGGTAATAATTGCTACCTTTTATAAAACATTTACTATATTTACACACTTTATGTACATTATCTTGCTTAATCTTTGCAACAAATCTGTGAGGTAGGAGCTATTATTACTCCCATTTGAAGTATGAGAAAACAGGCTTAGAGAGATTAAGTGACCTTCAGTCAATGGGCAAGCCAGATCCCCATGTTCTTCCTTTACTCATAACTAACACACTGCACTAATCCCTCACACA